ACACTTATACAAAATTTACACTTTTTAAAAATAAGTTAACACAAATATAGCACTACAATTGCCAAAGCCACCCCCAGGGGCTTGACAATGTAAAGGCAGCCTAGAAACAAACACTCGGTAAAAACATTGATACATTGTGTATGCATGAGACAAGTTGAGGTGGTCCAGGACAAGACAGAAGGCTGGAAGGAGTGGTGGGGACGTTAATAAAGAAGGTTGACAAGACTATACAGTAACAGGAGCAAAGGCAAAAGACTCAGAGAAAGCCAAAAGTATGTAATTTCCTGTAAACTTGGGAAAATGGAAAAGGCTTATTTGGTTGCTATTTATGTCACAAAAACTGCAAAATGTGCATGAATGTGCACCTGAAAAATAAAAAATCTGAAAAACTCAAAATCTAAGTATTAAAAATACTTTTGTGGCAGGGATTTTGGCTGTCTGTAGGTGAGCACCACCTAACACTTTGTAGGTGTTACTTGTACATAAATAACATCAACAACAGGCAGACACACACATACCAAAGTTTTGTCACTGACTTACTAGCTGTTTTTCAAATAGTTGAGTGGGCAGTAGGTTTAAATGTTCCAGCTTGCAAAACTTTTTTCAAGAATGAACTGCCAGAAAATAATTAGTTGTCACCTCAGAGATATCTTGATATCAGAAATATATTTGTCCTTGTATATTTCAGCTTTTTGGCATTGTGATTTTTTTTTTAAGAGTTGAGTGCATTTTGCCATTCTGTTGGGCATAATTTGGAGCACTGTAACTCCATCAATGGGTTGAGAGCACAGTAAGATGTTTAAAAAAAACGGTTATAATATGAAAAGTTCAAGTTAATATGCAACAGTCAGGTTCAAAATAAATTGTAGGTTTGGCTTAATTAGATGAGGTTTTAAAAACTACTAAATGGATTCTCTTTATTTGCTTAGCAAACATAAATTACAAATTATTTTGTTCAGACTTTCCATATTATAATAGGAAAGCAGTGAACACCCTTAAGTTTTTATTTGCCAACAGAGACCATAATTTCCTCATTGTAATTAAAATAAGAAATAACATGATCTTGGACACCATTGAGTTGACTCTTGAATGATGACCACAAAGTATAAAATATGCTATGCACGTGCAATCTTTAAAATTGAACATTCAAGCAATAGCTTTCTAGAAACTGAGTTAAAAGTAAGGTTTGTCTGCTGTGTGATCATTTTGTTAAAAAAAGGAGTTGTCCCTCCTGTCCTTTCCCCAGATTTCCCAGATGGAAAGGGTTCAGAAAAGGGCAACTAAAATGATTAGGGGGTTTGGAAAGGGTCCCATATGAAGAGAGGTTAAAGCGACTGGGACTTTTCAGTTTAGAAAAGAGGAGACTGAGGGGGGATATGATAGAGGTATGTAAAATCATGAGTGGTGTGGAGAGGGCTGATAAAGAAAAGTTATTTATTAGTTCCCTAAATAGAAGAACTAGAGGACACCAAATGAAAGTAATGGGTAGCAGGTTTAAAACTAATAAAAGAAAGTTCTTCTTCACACAGCGTGTAGTCAACCTGCGGAACTCCTTGCCAGAGGAGGCTTTGAAGGCTAGGACTATAATAGATTTTAAAGAGAAGCTAGATAATTTCCTGGAGGTTAGGTCCATAAAAGGCTATTAGCCAGGGGATAAAATGGTGTCCCTGGCCTCTGTCTGTCAGAGGCTGGAGAGGGATGGCAGGAGACAAATCGCTTGATCATTGTCTTCGGCCCACCCTCTCTGGGCCACCTGGTGCTGGCCACTGTCGGCAGACAGGCTACTGGGCTAGATGGACCTTTGGTCTGACCCAGTACTGCCGTTCTTATGTTCTTATTTCCTTTACCCCTATTGTTGTGTAGTGTGTTGCATGCTGTTTCGTTGTGCTGCATTATTATTAAATGTACCCAAGGCCATCAACCAGCACTCATTTTAAGAGGAAGTGTTGTGCTTTCCCCATAGTCCTGCAGTATCTGGCTCTGCACTGGACTAACTAATACTGAGGACAAAACACCTGCAGTGCCAGGGGGCAATGATACTGTTGCCATCAACAACCTTGTATTCCATAAAAGATACTCTCTCAGAGGTACAGGTGAGCATCCTGACAGAGGAATGCACCACGTGGAGATCTACATCACTTCCTTGGCGAGTGATGATACTATGCAATCATCAGTAGTGAAAGTGATCCAGTTTACATCTGGCTGCATATGAAAAGCTAAGGAGTAGGAGATTCGTTTTTCCTTTCTTCCTTGCTCCTTTTAAAGAGCGGGGAAGTAGTTGCCAATGTGCAAACCTTTCAAAACTTGTATGTCTCAGGCATCTGCAGAGACAAATAATTAAATCCATGTAATCTTTTAATGATGTTTACAGGAACTTTTAAAAGCAAATGTAAAGCTTACTGATGGTGCCAGTTTGATGGCAATTGATGGCCTAAATGTGTGTCAGTGCAGCAAACAATACAAGGGTCCAGACAAGTTCCCATGCACTGACACACCAGTGTGCCGCAAATCCAGCTTGATGGAATTGCCCGTCCTGTGAGAAGTTACGTAACCATCACTGAGGAAATTACTAGTAAGATGCCTGCCGTTGTTAAATTTAGGACTGTCAAGCAATTTTAAAAATTAATCATGATTAATCATGCTGTTAAATAACAATAGAATGCCAATTATTTAAATGTTTGGGCTGTTTTCTACATTTTCAAATATATTGATTTCAGTTACAACTCAGAATACAAAGTGCACAGTGCTCCCTTGTACTTTCATCACACATATTTGCACTAGAAAAATAAAAGAAATTGTATTTTTCAAATCACCTGGTACAAGTACTACAGAGTAACCTCTTTATCATGAAAGGTGAGCATACAAATGTAGGGTTATGTACAAAAAAACTGCATTAAAAATAAAACAATGTAAAGTGTTACCGCCTACAAGTGCACTCAGTCCTACTTCTTGTCCACTAATACAAAGTTTACATTTCCAGGAAGTAATGTTTCCTGCTTCTTGTCTCCAATGTCACCTGAAAGTGAAAACAAGTGTTCTGTTGCTGTAGCCAACATCAACAAACATTTACATACCAGATGCGCTAAAAATTCATACTTCCCTTCATGTTTCAAGCGCCATTCCAGAGGACACGCATCCATGTTGCTACGGGTTCTGATCTATAACAATTCAAAGCAGTGTGGACCAACACGTGTTCTTTTTCTGCCACCAGCAGAAGGTTGAATTTTTGAGGGTTTTTTGTTTGTTTGTTGGGGGGCGTGATTCAGGTTCTGTAATTTCTGCATCACAGTTGTTACTTTTTAAGGCTTCAGAAATCATGTTCCACAACTTGTCCCTCAGATTTTGGAAAGCGCCTCATATTATTAAACCTTGGGTCAAGTGCTGTAGCTATCTTCAAATAGCTCACAAGGTACCTTCTTTGTTTTTCCTCAAATCTGCAGTGAAAGTGTTCTTAAAATGAGCATGTGCTGGCTCATCATCTCAGACTGCTATCACATGGCAGAATGCTAGTAAAGCACTGAACAGGAGATTGGCAGCTCTCCCCAAAGGAGTTGAGAGAGAGAGATGTAATTATTGCATTATGTTTTTAGCGAGCCATCATTGGCATAGAAGCATGTCCTGTGGAATGATAGCCGAAGTATAAAAGGGCATACAAATACTTAGCATATCTGGCATGTAAAAACCTTGTAATTACTGCTCCCAACGTGCCATGCAAACACCTGTTCTCACTTTTAGGTGACATTGTAAATAAAAAGTGGACAGCATTATCTCCACGAATGTAAGCAAAAGTGTTTCTCTTAGCGACTGGCTGAGCAAGTAGGATTGAGAGGCCTTGTAGAGTGTAAAGTTTTACATTGTTTTGGTTTTGAGTGTAACTATTTACCAATCAACATTTGTATGTTCATGATAGAGATTGCACTACAGTACTTGTATGAGATTGAAAAAATACTATTTCTTTTGTGTATCATTTTACAGTTCAAATATTTAAAATATAAAACAATATAAAGTGAGTTCTGTACTCTTTGGATTCTGTGTTGTAATTAAAAATGTAGAAAAACATCCAAAATGTGTAATACATTCCAGTTGGTAATCTATTGTTTAGCAGTGTGATTAGAACTGCGATTAATTGGGATTCATTTTTTGTGTGAATCATGTGAACTAACTGCAATTAATTGGCAGCCCCATTATTTTGGATTCAGTTCTTAGATAAAAATTTTGCAGACACTTTTGAAACTCAAACAGCTCTTTAAAAAATCAAATAAAAACCCACCTGTGAATGAAATTAAAGCTTCAGAAGGTAATGGTAAACTTTCCCTTTCTATCACAGAGATTTGTCCATGGGCCACAGGTCAGCCTCATACATTTAAGGCAGCCACACAATAGCTAGTGAATGTTTGCAGCTCTTAGCAAGTCTATGAACCAACCTCTGTTAAATGGTCAAAAACATGCTACCAATGGGCCAATCCTAGAACACTAGAACTGGAAGGGACCTCAAGAGGTCATCGAGTCCAGTCTATATCTTTCTAGAATTCAAATATGTCATAAAACCTCTGTGCTTGCTATAGTTTGTGACAAATTGCATAATTCTTCATTTTGTGCGGCCTTTATGACAACAAGGTTGAGTCTAAGTTAGGATTGGAATGTGGACATTTAGATACCTTGTTGTTTGGGGGGGTTGGTTTGGTTTGGTTTTTTGTTTTTGGTCTCAACCTTTTTGGAGGAATAGCAGAGTCACCACAAACTCTTAATTCAATCTGCTTACCCTGGTAGTATTTGTGTTGCTTCCTGTCTATGAATATGTGGAATTTATTTATGCTTTCGCTTCAGCACGGAAGCAGGGGTCTGTACAGTAAACCTGTCTAATAAATATTTTGCTTTTTTCCTTCAAAGTTAGCTGCTTCTTGCTATTTTATGTGTATCCTCATCTGTTCTGTTCATGCTTTCTCTTCCATTATCCTTTCCAGATGATTAAGTGCTGCATGTGCAATTTCATTTCTTAGGAGTACGACTGGAGAAACTACCAGCCAAGCAGACTGAGTGCATCAGAACTGCAGATGTTGGCTAGCATGAAGAGACAACAAAATGAGGAGCTGGAGGAGAACGGGGTCTCACATGGGCTGAGTGCATCTCAGATTGACACCTGCAACGTCAGCGTCAGTACAAGCAGTGATGACACAACAACCTGGAACTCTTGTCTCCCTCCAGTAAGTTTACACTTCTGCTAGGTGCTCTAAAATGTTTAAAAAACTTTTCAGTAAATTTGCGCTAAAGTAGACATTTTAAATTCAGAGTCCCATAGATATCAATACAATGGTGTCTCTCGTGCTCTGGGCCAGGGGTGGGTAAAGGGGCCTCTGGGGGCTGGATCCAGCCCGCCAAGCCAGTGGATCCTGCCCATGGCTGCCCTGCCACTCTCTCCGCCCCCAGGCCAATTGAGACCTGGGGCCAGGGGTGTGCACAGTCTCCTCCCCCCTGCCAAGGGTGTGTGGCGGCGGTGGCTAGAGAGAAACTCTGTCTGCTTTAAAAGAACTGGTCGTTCTCTCTAGTCGCCATGCGCCCCTGGCAGGGTGGGGACAGAGGACAAGAGTCTGGGCGATCCCCCACCACCCAGGCCCTGAATGGTCTGGGGGGGGGCATTGTGCGAGGTCTCCTCCCGCTGCAGCGCCTAGAGGAAACCACCAGCACTTTTAAAACAGCTGGCGATTCCCTAGACGCTGGGAGGGGGGCAAAGATTTCACACGCTCCCCCATCCCCAGGCCAATCAGGGTCTGTGGGCAGGGAGCATGAGACGTCTCCTGGCCCCGCCCCTTCAGAAATTTGTGAAGTGGCTCCCTCTTAAAAATTATTGTCCACCCCTGCTTAGGCACTTCTGGCACCCATTTAAAAAATCATCAACATGAACCAGCAGCCAGCACCCTCTTCCCCCCAATCAATCCCTCTTTCTCTGGAGCCTAAGAAAAGGAATAGCACTCACAGCAAACCACGGCAGCAAGAACAACTTGCAGGTGTGCAGTGTAGGTTCTTACCTTCACAACTGGTGTCAGAATTCAGATCCAAATATACCAGCCAAGAGCTGGTTTGCATCCTGAACAATGGAAAACAATTATATTTTTCTGATGGCACAATCGACACAGCAGCGAGCCATTTAAAGGACAGGACATCATTTATGTGAAGTCACAGACCAACATCTCAGCAGTTATATAAAGGTATTTATGGAATCTACCATAAAGTTAGACAACTTCTTAGTCCATTTAGCTAAACTCTTCTAGTTTTTATTTCTTAGACTCATAGACTGTATGGCCAGAAGGGATTGTCATAAGAATTTAGTCTGACCTCCTGCACGTTGCAGGCAACAGAACCTCTCCCTCCTCCCACACCATCACTTGCAGTAGACCCCTAACCTCTGGCTGAGTTACTGAAGTCCTCAAATCATGATGTAAAGATTTCAGGTTACAGGGACTCCACCATGTACACTAATTTAAACCTACTAGTGACCCTTGGCCTGTGCTGGAGGGGAAAGCCAAAAACCTCACAATCTCTGCCAGTCTGACCTGGAGGAAAATTCCTTCCTGACCTCAAACCTTGCAGTTGGACCCAGAACATTTCTGCAAGACCCAACAGCTAGACGTGTGGGAAAGAATTTTCCGTGGTAACTCAAAGCCTCCTCAAACAAAAGGCTTGGCATGACAAAAATGATGTGATTGTCCATGTGATAGATTTGATGTTCATATTAAGGCTACTGTTAACTCGTTAAGTAACTGCTTGCTGATACCAAAACCTCTGAAGCGGATACTGCAAATTTGCAGGGTTCTAGATACAAAATTCATATCCATATCTGTGTCCACAAAAATGAGCCATGGATATTTGCATCCATCCATGGATATAAAGCAGATAGCCACAGATTTGCAGGGCTCTGTGCATGGTCTTTTGCACAAACCCTTGAACATGTTATGAGTGGTACGTGAAATCACAGTATATCACAGAAACTCTTATGATGATGCTAGGGGCAGAGCCAGCCTGGTACCACTACCAAAATTGGAGAAGTGGCCCCATTACAAAAATTATTGCCCGCCCCTGCTTTACACTGTTGTAAAACTTTCCACAGCAGAAGATCCTTTGCAAACTTGGACTGCTAAGCAAGAAGGAAAGTTTCTAGTGATGTCCATCTGGCATTTTTCAGAAACATTACATTCACTTTCTAAATTAAAGCAAAACAAAAACCCTCCCATCACACGCTAACAACGTGAACACCCACCTGCCCAGTTTGCAGAAAGCAGAGCAAATGACTACCCAAAGCTACACAGAAAAGACTCCCAGATTCATAACTTGCATCTTGTACACTGCAGGTGTTAAAATATTATTTTGAATTGAATTTGATCCTAAGTTAGAATCTTTGAAAAAATCTGTTTCTGTCAAAGTGCAATACATTTACTTATAGGTTTAATTTATGTAAATACAGATGGGAAGAAAACATTGAGTAATTACAGTTATAGCTAATTAAAATTTTAAATGACTAATTATATTGAAACACTTTTTAAACTTAAGACATTAGACTGAAATGCACAAAATATTATCAAAGTAGGGGGATCAAAGAACTCTATTTACATTATGCTTTACTAAGTATCAGAAAAGTACATTTTATCGTAAAAGTTTTTTCTTTTAATCACGTGATACATGTAAAACCAAATGTGATGTGTCAAAATAATCTCAGCAATTTCCTGATAATTACTCAAGAGTTAATGACTTTTATATGCTCTTCATTTACCTGAAACCAACTCGTCCAATCCTGCAGACCTACTCATACAAGCAGTTGCAAAGACTGTGTTGGACTTGGGGCTCAGAGACACAATCACCTCAATCACGCTTGAGCTACAGTCCTCCTGCTTTTGAACTACCAATTTCTGCATCCACAAGACATTAGATGCATCAGGGCTTACTAAGAAAGCACATGACCTTTCCAGAGTGTCCATGGCTTTAGTCATGAGTTTGCTCAGCTGTGTACAGCTGGAATTCCAGCCTTCTCTTTGAACCTGAGACAAACTGCTCACTCCCAGTATTCGTTTAATAGATCCTCCTTCCAGCCAGCCAGCCTGGATTTTTTCACAGCAAAAGTTGGTAGATTTGTTTTCATTGGAAAGGCTTTGGCCATTGGGTACCAACATTTTTCTCAGCCAGTAAACTGTGTCCTGTGGAGGTGGGGCCATTCAGAGTCAATGACCCAATGAGAGTCAATGGGAGCGATTCCCGTTTACCTTCACTTGGCACCGCTAGTGACTTCTCACGAACTCCACCAAGAAATTCTTTTCCTTGTGCAATATCCTGAAGAGCAACATATTCTTTCAGCACTTTAGATCTGCTTAGAACAGACTTTGGTACAGCAGCTAAAGCAACAAACTCCCTCTGACTCTGCCTCTGGTACCCCAGGAAGATTTTTACGCAGCTGCCTTTCAGGTAAGCCGCTAGGGTCCGAGGTGCTCTTTTTTTTTTCTTTGCAACTTTCCTGATTGGCAACATGCAGGTGACCAAACAATTTCTTCCTTCTTACAAGTTTCCATGTGTCGGTGGGCAACATGGTTAAATCACCTTCCTGCTTTTCTTCCGCCCTGGTTGGATATCAACCTGGTCAGACAAGATTGTCATACCTTTTCCCATAACACGTTAGTAACAGGCAAAATAGAAGCACCGGATTCGCCGGGTCCCCGGGACTTTTTTATGACGTGAACTGGATGCAAGTAGCTACAGTGCCATTCCCCCTAGCAGGTGTAAACTTAGGAGCATTTCCACCATGGGCTTTAGTTATATCCAGAGCCAACTCTGAGACAATTGATAAGTTTTCAGTCTGCAGACCTCTACTGTCTGCTTTACAGAGCAGGAGAAACCTCTCCTTTAGCAGACACTCTTCAACAGATAATCAATGTGAGAAATAATTTCCATGGCCAATGAGTTCTCCCTGTGCTTTATCCAATTCCAGATTCACTTCTGAGCTATTAGGCAGACATTCAGAAACCACATTCACATAAATACCACCTTTCTGCATGGACAAACCGTTATTTCCTTGAGGCAGACATCCAGAGAAATCCTCCACAGGCAAGTCATTGCCCTTCCTAGACACAGACTCAGAATGATTCTCTTTCTGTGACTGATTTATGGTATTAACTTGACTCACAAAGCTTTGAAATCATTCCCTATTAAAAGATCTGAAGAAATTGTATTTTTTGCTCCCACAACCATGTGGCCATCAAATCCTTTCTAGTGAAGGTGGATTTCAGCCAAAGGCACTCTTACAAAATATTCAGATAGGGCCACAACGGTTACACATAATCTCATCCTCCCTGACAAGACTTGTCTTAACCCAAATAATATCTGCTGCAGTGTCCCTCCATGCCATACACCTCATTCCAGTAATTCCTACACTGCTAATAAACTCCGCACTCGTGGGCTCATATTTAACTTCAACATGCATTTTAAGGTCAAGTTCTTCAAGGCAGCACGTAGCTTAAGGCGGCAGTAGGTCTGTTGCTTTGTCTTTGCATTTAGAAAGCCTGGATTCCCATTTACTGCATCTGCTGCTTTACTTCTTACATTTGGACACTTTAGTTTGCTGTGTGCACTTGTACCACCCAAGTAACAGACCACTTGTCCTCCCTTAGACTCTGCGTTTTTCTGGTCCGGGCTTTCATGAATGGTTTTACCAAAGCTGGGGTTGGGTTTCATCTTAACCCCTTCTTTTCTTTAACCTGGGGTGAATAGTGACGACTTCTCCCATGGGGTTTATATTCTTCTCGAATCCTATTTTGGGCATACGCATCAGCAATTTCTGCAACTCATAGAACTGAATCACGTCCCTATCACAGACAGCTGCTCCAATATTTTCAGGAACCGTGTCTAAAATGGTTCCAAAGTGATTAAATCCATCCATTTTTCAAAACTCCCATGTGCCATTGCTCCCACAACCCACTTTTTAACCAAGTGCACATTCCACTAAAGTACAGTCATTAAACATTTTAAACTTTCTAAATTTAACCCTGTTTGATTCAGAAGTGACCTTGAATCACCTTAACACAGAATCTTTAAACAGCACATAATCTAAGGCTTCTTGTTCCTTTCGTTTATCCAGCACTTCCCTGGCTTTTCCAGCCAGTCTGGTTAATAGCACAGGCATTCCCTGCTCACCTGGGATCCTATGTAGCGCCCATAGCCATTCAAAGGTAGACAGCAAGTCCTCTGAGTCTTCGGTATCTTCGTAAGTGGGGCAGATGCTTTCCCAGTTTCTTCTAGTACATGGAGCTGAAGTTGTGAGCCCTTTCCTCAGTGGCGAGTCATGCCACATGCCTTAGGTGGGCTGGTCTTTCCCTTTCAGCAGCATCTTGTTCCATTTCAACCATCCTTTCTTAGTTTCTCTTTCCATATCGGCTCTCATTTGCTTTTCCTGCAATTGACGCTCTGTCCGCTTTTGTTCATGTTCATGTTGTTGCCGGTTTCTTACTGCAAGCATGTCCCTTGGGTCTCCTTCCTGATCACTGGCCATTAGCAGATTTTCCAGTTCTTGCTCTGGGACCTTTTTTTATTAAGACAATCCCCTGCATGAACACAATTCTTGAAGGTTTCTTCTATTAAGGTCTTCATATGATCCTGGTCACTCATTGTAACTGATTTGAACTCTTAAACATTCCAATTATTTTTCATAAGCATGGGGCCTGATCCAAAAACCCAATTAACCTGTGGTAATGTATATCCTAGCTTGACGACACCAGTATGACCCATGTCCAGGGGAGTCAACTGAGGTTACTAAATTAGGGCCAAATTGCAATTGAATGGGGGAGCCACTCCCCAAAACCAGGGATTATTCCAATACTTAGATTTACCAAGCTAGCACAAAACAGCTTCGGTAAGACCTTACCAGTGACCAAGAAGCCAACCACACAGTTCCCTTAAAGTAACCTAGCGTTAGGCCTTCACCCAGACACCCAAGTCTTATAAAGTTCTACCAGTCCCAAAGGATTGGACACATACCTCCCAGGTCAATGAGTATTTCAGCTCTCACCCCAAAGAAAGGTGTATAGCCAAATCTTGTTAACTAAACTAAAATTGATTTTAAAAAGAGAGTGAGTATTGGTTACAAGATCAATATACATACAGTCACGAGTACAGTTCAGAGATCACATTCATAGTAGAGATGGTGAGCTTTGTAATTGCAAAGAATGTAGTCCATAGGTTATAGTCCAGTGTCCAACATCATATTCAGGGTGATCCAGCATAGCAACATAATCCTTATGGCATAGGCTTCCCCTACTGGAAACCTTACGCAGATCTGAGCTAAAACGTATCCGGTCCCAAGGATTTTTATGTAGTCTTCTAGCAGCCTTTTGAACCTGGAATCCGGGATGAACAACAGACTTTGAAGTAAACTTCTCTTGCCCAAACACCATGGTAATCACCTACATGAATTAACATAAGGTAATTTTCCATTAAGCAGTTTATCACAGACTGTAAGAGACATATAGACAATGAAATTATTTCACCCAAGATTCATCTAAATGTTAATATTCACCTTTGATCTCTGAATCAACAGCGATAGCGACAGACAGGAACTATCTGTTTATATAATTAGCATCTCTAAGTAAATACACACGATTAGTATAACCTGTACGCATAGGTTTGCATGTCCGAGTTCTAGCCTAACTAGCCCTGGATGGCACTAGTTACCATTTCTGTACTTTTCAGTGTGTCTCTCTAGGTTGGCTCTGGGTCATTTAGCCTGTAGAATGCCCATGTGTCCTTCTTGGTATAAGATTTGTTGCAGTTATGTAACAGTGGTAACAACAATCGTTTTTATGGTCATTTTTAATCAAATCAAGTCACACCAGGGTTAGAGAAAATGCCTTATGGTAAGAAATGTGGTGTCAGTCTGTTTATTTGATCAAAAAGGAAGATGGAGAAGTGACTTGATTAGTATAAGTGTATAAGTCTTCACAGGGAGCAAATACAAGGTATTAAAAGCTCTTCAGTCAAGGTGGGGGAGAAATGAAGGTAGAGAAATGTGAATTACAGATAAGGCACGTCTTTTCAACAGCGAGGGTGATTAACCTTTGGAACAAGGTTAATCTCTGTATCTTCAGATCAAGGCTGGATGCCTGCCTGGAACATGCTTTGGTCATTCACAAGTTATTGGGCTCAGTCCAGGAGTAATGGGGTGAAATGTAATAGTAGTATGTGCAAAAGCTCAGGCTAGATGATCTAACATCCTTAAAATCAATTGTTCTAATATCACTTAGCTATGGAACAGAGTTTTCATTGAAGCCAGAAATTAAGCAGAACTCAAGTACGCAAGATACTTATGCAACTCTGTGGTCACTCAGGTAACTGACAGATCAACATACAGCCTGTGTGGAGACCACATGGAGCCCCCTTCTGAAGTGAGCACAAAGCCTTTGCAGTCTGTTCTTTCCCGGCACTGTCCTGCTGTCTGGGTACAGGTGAATGCCACCCGACATGAATAAAGGCCCTCATTTCCACCAGTTCCAGTCTGTGCTGAAGTTCAGAATTTGTATTACTCAACGCTAGTTTGTATGTACACTGAGCTTGACTTTCATTACTGAAAATCAGTTCCCAAGGGCCAGGTGGAGCTGCACATGCTAAAAATCAGGACCATCATAAAACTTATATTTAGGGGCAAACTTATACTTGCCTTCACCTTCCATTGGTACACATCAGCAGCTTTCTCTGCACAATGTATGGGATACAAATTAGAACTAATCTGTACATTATACTTTATAAAATTAAGCACAATTTAAAAAATTGTCTCTGGCCATGGTTAACCTTGAGAGATTACTTAATTTCTAGGTAGTCTCTTTCTGTGTTTTTAAAGCATTAACATCTTTTCCTCTCTATTAAATGGATAATGTTTTTGCGAATCATATTCCCCCATTAAGTCTATTCTTATTTTTCCACAAAAATTATCAACAGCTCTTTTCCAAAAGGTAAGCCTTTTTGTTCTAAATGGTGGGTAATTTTATATAACCTCTTTGTGCCTGGATGTAATCTATAGCAACAGCACCACCAGAAGGCATATTTTATATCTTTCGTCCTGAAAAATACTTTCTTTTCTATAAAGTGTAGTATAGCATATAGGCGTGTTACCTAGTAATATTTTACTTGTAACATGTTTTTTGTGACTTTAAATTTTCCATCATTTTGCATGTTTTAGTCTGATTTTTAGCTTCATTTAAAAGATGCCCAGCTATTTTTGTTTTTAATGAGATTTCAAAAACCCTTCCGAACTGCAAAGATATATAGATTATATTGCTAAACTGCAGTTAAAACAAATGAACAGATGTTCTTATATCATTATAAAATTGATATCTTAAAAACTGGATTTTACAGCTAATGATAGTTTTCCAAGAACTAAAATGTAATATCTATGCCATCAAAAGGCATTGTTGAAATTCAAATTGTTTAGCAGCTGTTCTATATTGTGACAGCCCAAAAGGAATGCAATAGTTTTAGGTACAGTACATTACCCAGAATAGCTAACAGCTGAAGATATTTTTAAAAACAGTGAATTTTACCATAAAGGTGATTTGTTAGGCTTTATAAAATGTGAAACATTAGCAGAAGCTTGCCTGGGTAAGACGGGCCGTGTTAAAGCTGCTGTTGATCATCAGCTGTGTATTCAGACAGCCCAATTATCCTCAGGTTTTTGGCTCACCAATGAAAAGTGACACTGTCAGTACATCCTAGCACATTCACAAGGCTATGGATAGTGGTGGTTACTATCCTTGTATGACACACTTACTACAGCATCACCCCAAGGGTCTCTCAGGATCTCTAGACACACAAGCTCCCAAACACCCAAAGCAAAGCGTCCTCATTCCCTGCGAGGGAGCTGATTTGCCAGGAAAGCTGGTGTTTCCAACTCAGGAGAGGTGTGGCAAGACACGGACCCTGATCTCCAAGATGTCATGGAAGTGAGTGTCATTAAACGAGCTTTCTCGTAGTTACAGGGCTAGCTGGTCTCTGTGCCTGCACCCTTCTGATGACAGATCTCTGTCCTTTATATGTCCTTGCATTCTTGGGGTGCATCTACTCTGCACACTCCTGGTCAGCTGAGGAGATGGTCGCGGAGCTGCCAGGGGTGCAAAAACAGGGTGATGCAGGATTGGGCCAAGTGTCCACCGACCTGTCTGGATGGAAACTAGAATCGTTAAGAAGGCCTGAGTAGAACCTACACATGTGAATGATTCATTTCAGATTGATAGACAGAGGGATGGGGAAGAGCGAAGACGCAGTCCACGAAAAGAGCCTAGAGAAGCGATTAATCGCTATTAATTTTTTTCATCACGCAATTAATCATGATTAACTTTTGATTGCTTGACAGCCCTGTTTGAGAACATTAGTGCTTATGACAGGTGCAGTTTCTTTAATTAAAACTATGATCCAGGTTATATGACGTGAAGACTGAGCAGGTAACCATTATGAAGATAAACATTGATAAGTAGAGCCACCAAGGGATCATGGGATCCGAATCTTGTTTGTGCAAGATGGTCAAGTCTCATGCAAATGTGTACACTGCATAGGCATAGCAACCCAGAAAAGAAGCCATTTAACAAATTCTAATCCAGGCTGCTGACCGAGGGGGCAGCTGCGCTGGGGCCCGGTGATTTGAAAGGACCCAGGACTCCCTACTAACCACCACTAACCTGCTCTGGAGCCCCAGGCAGCATGCACCCAACAGCACTAAAGGGCTGGCTGGGGGAGGTTAGCCCTGGCCCTACCCCTCCCACCTGGGGCCCCTTCTGGAGAGCTGGATCCGAGCTCTCTCCGCCCCTTCTGGCCTTGGCAAAGTCTGTCCTCAGCCCTTATTCTAATAGATCATCTCACAAATATAAGTTCCCAAAAGGATTCGTTCCTATGCCTGTAGCGATGTGGAAAGAATATTCGCAAATATCTTCTCACCGCTGCTCTTTGTGTTTTCCACAGCCAGTCAATCAAGGGCATCACTATCAGAAAGAAATGAACCCGCTGTCTCATTCCAACCCAAGGTAACATTCTGTTTTGGGGCCAGGCATGGGAATTCAGTGAGACTGTTCTGGCTAGGAAATGTGTCTTTCTTTGGTTTAATCTTAAATCTTTTCTTTTTTCGTTTGTTACTTCTTCATAGAGTTTTTCCACCACTTTTGATCATCAGAGTTCTAGAGCACTGCAGTGGGACCAGGGTGCAGGGCAGAACTCTGCTCTGTATAATAGCCATCTGCACATGTCGTGTATTTCATGTAACCAGTGTAGGCCCCGATCCTGGGAAGAACTCTGTAAACACATCACAGAGGTCTGGGCTCTAGTCATTTGGTGGGGAGGGTGGGTGGTTCATTTTGCGGAGGATTGCGGGTTGCATTCCTTGTGGTCATGGAGTCCCATTCTTGACAAATGATACATGATTTTAACATTATGGAATTAGGACCTTTAGCACTTGCAAGGGTAGAACATTATGCGATAGTTCTAGGGCATTTGCAGCTGTGGCCTGTCTATAAAGTATATAGACTAATCAACTCTGAAGTTGTGCCTATTCCATCGCACTCAGGAAGAAAACTCCCCTTGACTTCAGTGGTGAAAGTTGAGAGACAGAAAATTAATTGGAAAAACGTAAACAACCAATAGTCTTGCAGCACCTTAAAGACTAACAAAACATGGAGATGGTGTCATGATCTTTTGTTGTCCCCACGAAAGCCCACGATCCCATCTCCATGTTTTGTTAGTCTTTAAGGCGCTGCTAGACTATTCGTTGTTTTTTACGTTTTTCCAGTTACAGACTAACTCGGCTACCCCACTGGAGCTAGAGGATTCATTGTCCGCCATCAGAAACGTCTTAAGCTAGAGAAGCTGTGAAATCTTAAGACCCTTTGTTACTGCACCTGTTAAGCCTCCGTGTTGGACTGTAGTTGTAAAGACAGACAGCCAGCTCTCTGTTTTCATCAGACCCCAATAACACTCTCTGCTTTTCCAAAGCGTGGCCAAGACTGTATTCAGATGAAAGCAAGTGCATGAAGTTTGATTTGGGCAACAAGTAGTTGATGCTGGTGGGCCAGGGAAAGGACCCAGGGGGTGTAAGATATTCCTTTGTTACTGCCGAGGTCTGTCGGCCTTGTTTCAGCTTGTTAGCAATCTGTTTGGGGTCTGGGTGCCAGTTGCAACACACCTTGCCCGTTTCTGTTCAGCGAGGTACGTGCAACCACTTGTTTCTCAAGTCTGGATCACAGCACTGCCCTCCATGCTTTTGTTACCCTCACTTGAGATTAGCCTAATGTGAAGTGCAGACTCCCTTTGAAGATCACCTGGAAGCGTTGGCCCGCGCACTTTGCAGCTACGAGCATCCTTTGTAATCTCTGCTTCAGCAGTGATTTGTTACCAGGCCTTGGTTCCTCTTCCCTTTCGCATGCCCCTCAAGGTGTTGGCTTTGGTCTACAAAGGCTGTAGATAGCTGGGGTCCTGCTTACCCATCCCAGCACCCAGCTAGAAACGCCAGGTGGTTTGTATTTGGGCACTCTGGGTGCAGAGCCCTTCACTCTGAAATTGATTTCTTCCTCTCGTCTGACAGTGCTCAAGTCTTCTGTCTTTAGGGCATGACAGGCTTTTGCCGAAGGGAAGGATGAGTAGTTCATTTGTTAAAAGTCATTGTTCCAGTATATGCCCAAACACTTCGGCTATGTCTAGACTGCAAGCCTCTTTCGAAAGAGAGCGTCTAGACTGCACGTTGAACTTTCGAAAAAGCGGCTTGCTTTTTCGAAAGAAAGCATCCAGTGAGTCTGGATGCTCTCTTTCGAAGAAGCCCTATTTACATTGAAGAACGCCTTCTTTCGAAAGAGGAACTTTCGAAAGAAGGCGTTCTTCCTCGTGAAATGAGGTTTACAGCCATCGAAAAAAAAGCCACGTTCTTTCGATTTAATTTCGAAAGAACGCGGCTTGAGTCTGGATGCAGGGGAAGTTTTTTCGGAAAAAGGCCTCCATGCCAGGTGCAGTCTAGCTACTGAAATACTTAACCCCAACATTTTTAACATATCAAGTCCAAGTTAATGTGTTCAAGAAAGTCAGTTTGTGCTTTTATATACTGTACAAAGATTCAAAATCAAGTTTTCTGGGCAAAAACTACTACCGGCCTTCGTACTGCTGTTTAATCTATCACCCAGTAATCTTTAATTTTTTACAAAATCATTTTTGACAAATGCAGGTAATCAAAATCTCTGTAAAATACCTGACTTGCAACTGCCTCATACATTCAGTATCCCTTGTGAGCTGCCAGAAAGGCATTATTGGGCTGTAAATATAAAAGACAACATTCTGAGGTCAGCTTGCATCGTGATATAAAAACTGGAGAAGATGTACAGTGCAGAAGTAATTTGTGGTATGTGATTGAAAAATCATGATTCACATTGTTACATTTTATTGAAGATGTAAAACTGAGAAATGTTGTTCACCGTGGAGGAAATGGGGACAAGTAAATGAGAAGGGAGATAAATCTGACATGCTTCTAAAGCGAGTGAGCTCCTGAATTATTCTTTAAAACCAGTTTTGATAATCAGCATAAGAAAGAATGTGTGTGTAACCTATGGAGATGGGAGGTAAGTCAGCTTACTTACCAATCCTCGCTGTGACGTAATGTGTTCCCACAGACCATGAATTCCAATCCTTGCAAGAAACTATAGCTGGATTTACTATAGGATCCTGCTAAGTACTGAAAGTGGAAATTAGGCTAGATTTCCTTTCTCTTCTTAGGAATCCAGGGTTAGTTTTCACCCCGTAAGACAGATGTGCGCACACATTAATAATTTCAAATTCCTTGTTATGACTAAACACTCCAGTGAGAAACTTGGCCAGCGTAACAGTTACAATGCACCTAACTAAGCTAACATCGTATCTGGTCCCTGTCAGCTGTGCACTTGTTTGGCAGCTCAGAAGAGATCCCGGTGCCACTCAGCTGATTAGCAGTGCGCCCCCAGCTAGGTTCTTTGTTTCTCCTGCTGTCGCATATGCTTCGGTGCACATAAAAACATTTATTCCGCACATGGATGGAAGAGATTAGAGGGAACGCAAACCCAAAAATGTGTATAAATAAATGCAGAGATTGGATCTTCTGACAGGGATCTTCTACTTGTATGTAGGCTCACCCTGGGCAATACAGTGACAACTGAATAACACATTTTGTTAGATTGCATAGTTGATTCAGCATCCATGCACTGGGCACGTACACAGCTTCAAATAAGAGAAGAAGTTTGACAGTTACTGTAGCTGGTAGCTCACACGCTGTCCTTGGTTCAGTGACATAATACATCTCGCAAAGACATTTGGCCTCCTGTCTGCGATTATTCCTTAGCGATGGCTTCCCAGTTTCAGTCTCACTGACTTGTGTAAAATTGCAGCAAACCATATTGAGAGCCACCCCCGATTCAGACTGGGTTATTCCTGGTAGCTCTCTCTGCCCCCTACAGAGCTGTGGATAGATGCTTTGCCAGTCAGGACACAGGGCCATGCTTTGTGTCTCAACAACATATATATTCACACAAACACACACCCCCGGTTTGTGTAATTCTGTGCTTGCTTCTCAGAATAGCAAGATGAAGGCAGCAGCCAGTTAGGCTAGTAGCAAATTTCGCTATCCCTTTCCTTATGACCCATTGCTCTATTGAAAAAACCCGTCTTTTCATTCCTGGGACTAAGGACTTTACAGCTACTTTAGCATGGAATTGCTGCAAGCCAGTCAGGTCCAACTAATCTCTCAAGTTACAGGAAAACTTTATGGAGATCCAGCCCTGCCTGGTTTGCATGTTTCCATTCCCCAGGTGCGTATTGGCCTTTCTGAGAGCCATTGCCCTCGGGGCCCTGCTAATTAGCATAGTCATCAATGAACAATTGTTCTTTACAACAGGCAGTCCAGGCCAGTATCAGCACAGAGTCCATAATCATAACTCCACATACAGACATCACACAAGTACATGAGTAGCATACATCGAATCAGTAGAACATAAGCTTTCATTTGACACTTCACATGGCCCCCTTTGTACAGACTTTGGGGCAAACACCCCCATGGGTGCAGCAGTGATCTGTCTGCTCCCCTTAAAATCCAATAATGTGACAGCCAGGTGCTTCCAACTGCTAATTAAAGGCCCAGGAAAGGAGATGGGAAGGAATTGGCCATGTGTCCGTGCAGGTGTGTTTGCCATGAATGAAGCCTTAAAGCAGCTACTGAGCATGGTTTACAACTTGCACTCCTCCTAGTGTACAGAAATAGCAACTACTTCTCTGTCTCACCCCAGATGCTGTGCTAGCCCCTTGTTGGGGGGTGTTTCCGTATCAGCTTAGTTGCGACTCCAGCAATAAGTTGTTGGCTGAACACCCACTTAGAATTGTCTAAATCTCTGCAATAGCTCGTGCATTCTTAGAAAGAAACTGGGAAGGGAACATTTGAAGAATGGTAGATTGCTGTGCTGTGTGGATTTGCAGGTGTGAGTGATAGCCAACATAACGGTATCGTAGCACAAGCTGTTTCTTTTTGAATAGTCATGGACAACTGAGGAGGAGGTACCAAATGACTGGGGAAGAGTGTGAGAGGTAATGATATTCGTAAAGTACGGAGAGCACAATCACAGCAGTTACTGTCTTGGACATTTATATTTTATCCTTCATAAAGTTAAGGAACGAGAGGTGAAAAGAAAACCGTTAAAAGATAACGACACTGAGAGCAGTAAACAGGGCTAAAGCTAGACTCAGTTCTTCTTCGAGTGATGGCTCGTGTGCAATCCAGTATGCGCGCGCGCTACATGCATGGTTGCTGGAAGGTTTTCCTTAGGGGCACCTTTTGGGTCGGTTGTAAAGCCTCCTGGTGAGGTGCCTCCATGGCACTGTCTATAGCTCCCTTCCAACTCACCACCTCATCAGTTCCTTCTTACCGCCAGCGACAGTTGTCGGAGCTCCTGACCTCTTGCTCTGCAAGTCATCCCTCACCTTTTAGATCGTTTTATTTTACCCCATTAGATTAGGAGTAGCAGTTGTA